AACCATCACAATTAGTACAATGTGTCACACAAAAAGCCTCTAGCTCCTGCTATGACTCCAGATACTAAGACGTGTGTCTACATCTCAGACCAGAGGATGCTGTTAGGGAGGAAGCACAGCCGTCATCTCACGGGTCTTGGGCAAGGCGATGCAGCTCTGTAGGAGGCTCTTCCCAGCAGCGCGCAGAGGTGCCCGTGCTCCCGCTGCATCCCCTCCCCCTGCGCAGGTCCAGGAGGGCTGGAGGGAAAGGCTTGGCCTGGCCCGCGGCCACTCCACCAGGGCGCCAGCTCTCGGCAAAGCCCTCTCCTGCAGAGGGCGCTGCTCTGAGTGACCCGCAGTCCTGTCTGAACAAACTTGCGCTAACCTGATGGCCGAACATCGAGGAGCCAGGACGGCCTGGTTCCTCCAGACAACTAAGAGAGACCAGCATGTGGCGGGGAGTCTGGGAAAGTCTGGGGGAATCTGGGAGCCTCGGTCACCCTTTCCTGGTGGCCTGAGGACACTGTGCCTGGGAAAAAGGGGGTGACAGCCAGACTTGAACCCAGCTTTACTCAGCGGTACTGCCCTCAGGACACAGGTGGTTCGGGACAGCTCCTCCAGTCTAAGTCAGAGGTGCGCACAGAGGAAACAGAGGTGAGGATGATTTTCATCGCATCATAATTTAAAAAGAAAAGAACACAACAAACTTGTTTAAAAGTTTAACATTTACAGCTTACACTCCCTCAAATACTTTTTTCCTGACGGCAGAACACAAACAACTGCACTTCCCCGGCTACAGCTCGAGGCCGCTCCGCATGTCACAAACACTTCCCAGCACGGGCCGCCCTGCACACACCAGGGGGCAGACCACGCCGGCTCCCCTCGGGGCTTCCCGAGGAGGGAAGAAGGGGCCATCTGCCAGGCTGCGGGCAGTCAGGAGGACCTGGCAGGGGCGGCAGCACCCCAGGGCCTGGCCTCAGAGGTGCTGCCTGCGGGAGAGCTGTGTCCCCAGGGCCACCCTACGAGGGGCAGCTCTCACCACCCGCCCTTCCCATGGCTCTGAGGCCTCCCTGCAAACGGGCAGCAGGAGAGCAGGGCAGGCGACCGGAGTGTCGACATGGAGGTGGAGCACGTCCAAGGCAGGTGCCAGGTGAGTCCGGGGTCTGATCTCACTCTGTGGGGTCAGCGCTGTGGTGCAGGGGCTGCGGGGTTTCCCAGCATCAGACAAGCTGCCTGGCTCCGGGCAGCTCTGCGCTCCACCCGCGGGGAAGTCACCGCCCACGAGCGAGGCTCTGTGAATGCGTTCTGACGGCTCCCAAGGACCCACGGACTGCACAGCATCGTAGTCTTTTCTTTTTTTTTCAACATGAGGCTTTTATTGCATCTTTAAAGTATCGCCAATAAGTGTGAAAATCATTCAGCATCTTGGTGTTTCTATAGCTGGACAACTCAGATCTTAGTCATCGGCCTGCTGAACTGCTCCTTTCTCAGAAGCATAGACACCACCCAAAATTCTCTGACATCCTTGTTTTAACTGGCGTGGCTGCTGAGTCAAAGCAGCTGAATGTGACACAAGTTCAATGTCATTTCCTTCAAGAATCAACTCATCTTTCTGGGCTTGAGATACTGAACAAGCAACACCAGACCTCTTCCGAACTCTGCGGATGTATTTTTCGCCCAAGAAATTTCTGATTTCAATGAGAACCATTCTCCTGAATGAGGACGCTGATGGGGAAGTGAGTGTACAGACCTCATCTCGTACCGGAGCCCAGGGGCACACCCTCGGTCACGTGTGCACAGGGCTGCAGACAGTGCGAACGGCGGCCGGTTCCTTTCTAGTTCCCACCACTTGTCCACCTGGAGCCTCTTCTTCTTCTTTCCAGGGAGACTGAGCTCTACACGGATGTGGCTGAAGTCCCTCCGCAGGTGCCTCTGGGGCCCTTCACAACAACTGTGCGGCCCTTCAGAGGGATGTCGACATTATCTGGGATATCGACAGTCTGACTGCTGAGAATGGTCTTCATTCTCGCAGTAGATGCGGCAAAGAGTCGTTGTCTTTTCTTACAGTTGGGTTTTTACTGAAACCTTTGGCTGTTGCAAATAATACAGCAACAGACATTCCTGGACGCGTCTCTGGAGCGTGCGAGGAGAGCGGCAGTGCTGGGTGAGGGTGGCAGGACCTGTCTCCTGGGCGCTGGTGGCTGGCGCCTGGCTGCGAGCACCGCTCCCGCCCTGCCCCAGCGACGCGCATCCTCGCCCAGCGCTCTGCCACCTGATGGGCGGAACACAGGCCGCTCTTGTGCGGCCTCCTTTTCTGTGACTCCCAGGAGATGCGTGTTTCTTCCCTTCCCGGCTAGCTGGGGCCCCTGAGGGCCTCTCGTATCTCCCGCCTACTTCCCAGCTAGCTGGGCCCGTGAGGGCCTCTCGTATCTTCCGCCTACTTCCCGGCTAGCTGGGCCCGTGAGGGCCTCTCGTATCTCCCGCCTACTTCCTGGCTAGCTGGGCCCGTGAGGGCCTCTCGTATCTCCCGCCTACTTCCTGGCTAGCTGGGCCCGTGAGGGCCTCTCGTATCTTCCGCCTACTTCCTGGCTAGCTGGGCCCGTGAGGGCCTCTCGTATCTTCCGCCTACTTCCCGGCTAGCTGGGCCCGTGAGGGCCTCTCGTATCTCCCGCCTACTTCCCAGCTAGCTGGGCCCATGAGGGCCTCTCGTATCTTCCGCCCACTTCACAGCTAGCTGGGCCCGTGAGGGCCTATCGTATCTCCCGCCTACTTCCCGGCTAGCTGGGCCCGTGAGGGCCTCTCGTATCTCCCGCCTACTTCCCGGCTAGCTGGGGTCCCTGAGGGCCTCTCGTATCTTCCGCCCACTTCACAGCTAGCTGGGGCCCCTGAGGGCCTCTCATATATTCTACCTACTTCCCGGCTAGCTGGTGCCCGTGAGGGCCTCTCGTATCTTCCGCCCACTTCCTGGCTAGCTGGGGCCCCTGAGGGCCTCTCATATATTCCACCTACTTCCCGGCTAGCTGGGGCCCCTGAGGGCCTCTCGTATCTTCTGCCTACTTCCCGGCTAGCTGGGGCCCCTGAGGGCCTCTCCGTATCTTCTCCCTACTTCGGTCAGGTTTTCTTTTTCTTACCAATTGGAAGGTCTGCATGTGCTTTACAAATACTTCTACCATTCTGTGGCTTGTTTTTAAATGTTGTTGAAAGGGTTTTTGTTGTATACAAGTTTTACATTTCAAAGTTATCAATATTTTCCTGAAACGTTTTTTTTTTGTATCTTAAGAACTGCTCCTCACCCAAGTGCCCATCAGCAGATGAGGGGATAAGTCAGCTGTGGTACATTTACACAATGGAATACTACTTGGCCATGTAAAGGAAGGAAATCTTACCCTTTGTGACAGCATGGATGGACCTGAAGAACATTATGTAAGTGAAATAAGCCAGTCAGAGAAAAACAAGTATCATATGATCTCACTTATATGTGAAATCTAATGAACAAACTGAACTAACAAGCAAAACAGAGACAGACTCATGGATAGAGAGCAGACTGACAGCTATCAGGGGTGGTGGCTGGGGGTGGGTGGAGGGGTTGAGAAAGGAGAGAGAGAACGAATGGACACAGACACAGTGTGGTGATGGTGGGAGTAGGGGTGGAAGAGGGTACAGGAGGGATAAATGGTGATAGAAAAAAAATAAAAACTAAGAAAGAAAAAGAAAGAAATGCTTCTCTACACCAAGTCACTAAAAGTCACCTCTATTTTCTGAAGTTTTAAAAAAACTGTTTGAATGCATTTGGAACTTACTGCTGTGTGTGCTAAGGGACAGAGATCTTTTCAGTTCTTCCCACTTGAACATCCTCTCATTCCAGGCCGTTCACCCAGCAGACCGTCCCTAACGCCCGTTACATGGCCATGGAAACCACTGGCTTTCAAGACCTGTAGCTTCCTTAACAAATGATTCAGTATATGGGCATATGTGTGTGTACACATATATATGAACGCATATATATGGGCACATATATGTACATATGTTGTCGTTAATCCTCACCGAGGATATTTTTTTCCACTGATATTTTTCAGAGAGAGTGCAAGTGTGGGGGGGTACCCATGTGAGAGAGACTCATTGATTGGTTGCCTCTCACATGCGCCCTGACTGGGAATCGAGCCTGCGATCCTTCCGTGCACAGGCCGACGCTGTAACCACTGAACCACACTGGCCAGGGCAAGTATTTGGACATTTTAAAATTAGTTGTTCTCCTTCCCTTTGAAAAACAGAGTATCTCTATCTTTCCTTTCCGAAGCTTCTCAATCACAGGAATAATGATGCTAGAATCACTTCAGTAAAAAGAAACTCAAGAAATCAGCTGATTTGTGTTTGTGGAAAAGTAAACTTTAACTGGTTCATGTGTAAGGTGTCTGCTAACCACCTAAGCCAGGGTTCTTACCTTTCTGAGCACAACATTTCAGCAAGGTGACAAAAGATGCTGAGAAAAAAAGCACCTTGGGGCACACAATCAGCCGTGGGTCACAGGCCCACAGAGCCCCCCCCCCCCTTCAGTGCCCAAAGCTCAGAGCGCCCCACGTGCGCTCAGGGCAGCCTATGCCTGGGCTCTGCACCTCCGCCTGCTCACGGACGAAGACTTTCATGTGTGTTTCTGTAAACCCACCTAAGCAATAATAAGCCTCTACACTAAGTGGAGAAAACAGAGTATTTTAAAAATATCAACAGAATTATTTATTTTTATCACTGTATCTGATGAAGCATATTTAATCAAAGTATATGCTGCTTCAAGTAATTTGATAATTCACAATAATGGCTTTTAAACTAATTGGACTTAAAATTAAAAGGATGTTAATATGATGCTTTTTGCTACACAGGACTGATATCTAGTCTAACAAAATTCTCTATAGGTGCAAGGGCTTTGGATAATATATTCAAGGTAACGAGTCCCAGGGAAATACTATGAAGGCAGGCAGGACTTATCAAAAGTAGCAATACTGAAAATCAGACACGTTGTTACTTACAATGAGCTGTTTCAGTCCAACAAAAGACTGTTCCACAGAGCTGGCGTTCAAGACCTGCCTCTTGGCTGCAGCCTTTTCACCCAGGAAGCGGAGCATCAAGTCTTTAACTGCATCTCCCTGAAAGAGTACAGGAAAGGTTCATCAGGACAATAAAATGCTAAGGAAGCTCAGCTACCCAGAACCCATCCCATGGGACAGAGGCACCTGGCGGGGGCGGCCTCTGGACCTCGAGGGCACAGCTTGGGAGGAGTGGGGTCACTGGAGGAGGACTGGGCCTGGCCGGGCGGGGCGGGGTTCCGGGAATGGCAGCACCTTACTTCCAGTGCTGCATTCACCCTTGAGCCTGAGGAGCAGAAGCGTCCCTTTCCCGCGGGTCCCTTACAGCTCTGCTCACAGGACACCAGGACATGCTGGCGGCCAGCGCAGGGCCCACATGAGCCTCTGCATAGGGAACTTCTGTCTCACAACCTGACTCCTCAGGTTAGACCCACCTGCACACAGGGCTGAGGCCATGAAAAGGGGATTGATGTGCATTACTTTAAAGGGAAGACTGGGGGGGTCAATGGGGGGAAGGGGAACATCTGTAATACTTTCAACAAAAACATTAATAAAAAGGGAAGACTGAGAGCAAGGGGCAGGGAGAAGGTGCTCTGGGAGGGAGACCAGAGCAAGAAGGCATCACAGTGCCCTGAGATGACCAGGGAGGACTCGTCTTGTAAGCTGCTGGACACGGGGTGAGCCCGGGATGGGGCCCAGGAGCGCCACACGTCTGTGCAGCACAACCCGCAGCTAAAGGAGGAAGGCAGCGCGAGCTTGACTGCTGGAAGCCTGGGAGCCGCCAAGCCCCTGGCCCTAGGGCAGGGGTCCCAGGTGCAAGGGTGCAGAGAAAGCTGCAGACCCGACCTCAGTGCTACTTGGTGGCCCTGCCACAGGCTGGGGTCAGCACAGGATCAGGCACCACGGCCAAGCCCAAGGCTGCTAGGGGTGCAGGGATGGTGACAAGGCCAAGGAGGGGACCAGGTAAGGAGTTAGTGAGAATGTAAGCCAAATCCCAAACACGCAAGCACCCCTGAAATCAGAGTCCGTAACTGGGATTCGTAAAAAGACCCTACAAAAGTGAAGTTCCATTTAGAATCTTCTGCTCATGTAAGAGGAGAGAGAGGAGCCAGAGGGTGCCTGGGGCCATGAGCCCAGCCAGGGAGACTGCCACGCAAGGTCACAGCTCCAGGCGCCTGGAGGGCCACGAGCCCAGCCGGGGAGACTGCCACACAAGGCCACAGCTCCAGGTGCCTGGAGGGCCACGAGTCCAGCCGGGGAGACTGCCACGCAAAGCCACAGCTCCAGGTGCCTGGGGGGCCACGAGCCCAGCCGGGGAGACTGCCACGCAAGGCCACAGCTCCAGGTGCCTGGGGCCACGAGCCCAGCCGGGAGACTGCCACGCAAGGTCACAGCTCCAGGTGCCTGGGGGGCCACGAGCCCAGCCGGGGAGACTGCCACGCAAGGTCACAGCTCCAGGTGTCTGGGGGGCCACGAGCCCAGCCGGGGAGACTGCCACGCAAGGCCCACAGCTTCAGGCGCCTGGAGGGCCACGAGCCCAGCCGGGAGACTGCCACGCAAGGTCACAGCTCCAGGTGCCTGGGGCCACGAGCCCAGCTGGGAGACTGCCACGCAAGGTCACAGCTCCAGGCGCCTGGGGCCACGAGTCCAGCCGGGGAGACTGCCACGCAAGGCCACAGCTCCAGGCGCCTGGGGCCACGAGCCCAGCCGGGGAGACTGCCACGCGAGGTCACAGCTCCAGACGGACACCTAAGGTCCCTAGAACAGTAGTTCCTGACTCACTTCCCTAGTGACACCTTTTTCTACAGAACTTGGCCTCACAGGGCCCACACTCCACACTCCACCATCTCGCGCACTGGGCTTCGTGACCACCCACGTGTGTGCCCCAGGCTGCGGAAGGCGCAGGTCCTCCTCCGTTCCAGGAGGACAACCACGCACAAACACATGGCGCGAGGCCAGCAGACTGTGAATGGTGCCCACAGCCACAGCCACAGACACTGCTGATCCCACCCGCAAGCTGGGTGCAGTGAACTATAAGCAACATGCGTATACATGGAAAATGTTCTCACACCACGCCTGCTACATGCTGTCTTATATCCAGTTATTCCCGTTTACCAATAAAACATGAACCATCGCACCATCTTCTTACCTACGCAAGCGCTCCAGGGTAGAGATGAGGTGAGTGGAATGTTTTCAGGCAGCCTCCTGATAATGGGCTTGGATTATTTCAGATTCATTGGAATTATAAACCATACCCTGATGGACATCCCAAAAGCTGAGTGTTTGCATACTAGTAAGATTACTTCCTTCTTTCCTTTCTTATTAAAAAAAAATGATTTTAGAGAAAGAGGACTGAGGGGAGGGGGGACCCAGATCAGAGAGTGAAACATTGATTGGTTGCCTCCCACACGTGCCCTGACCAGAGATCAAACCTGCAGCCTGGGTATACGCCCTGACCGGGAATCGGACGTGTGACCTTTTGGTGTACCGGACAACACTCCAACCAACCGAGCCATGTGGGCCACTGTGAGATTACTTCCTTATAAAAAATTCCCAAGTGTGGTATTCAGGTGCAGTTTTTTTTTTTATCCTCACCTGAAGACATCTTTTCCCATTTTTTGTTCAGATAGAGTGGGAGGGAGAGAGAGGAATAGAGAGAGAAAGAGAGAAACATGGACGTAAAAGGGACACATCGAGTGGCTGCCACCCACACGACCAACCAGGGCCGGGGACTAACCACAACCGAGGTACGCACCCTTAGCGGAAACTGAACCCGGGTCTCTCTGGACTGCAGGCCGATGCTCTAACCGCTGAGCCAAACCAGCCAGGGCTGGGTGCAGTTTTTAAAACTTTATTTTAAAAAGTTTGTATCAAATTATGGCCCATCAGGGCTGTCCGAGACAGGCTGTTTTCCCACATTCTAACAACAGCATATTCACGTAAATAAGATAATGGAAAATGGAAATACTTTTTTTTTTTTTGTACAGATAGAGTGGGAGGGAGAGAGAGGAAGGAAGAGAGAGAAACATCGACGTGAAGGGATACATCGAGTGGCTGCCACCTGCATGACCAACCAGGGACGGGGACAAACTGCAACCGAAGTACGTGCCCTTAGCGGGAACCGAACCTGGGTCTCTCCGGACCACAGGCCGACGCTCTAACCACTGAGCCAAACTGGCCAGGGCAAAAAATAAAGTCAGTTCAGTTCTATTTTTATTTTTTTTATCTTCACCCGAGGACATTTTTCCATTTTTTGTTCCGGTAAAGTGGGAGGGAGAGAGAGGAACAGAGAGAGAGAGAGAGAAACATCGACGTGAAAGGAGCACATTGAGTGGCTGCCACCCGCACGACCGACCAGGGCCGGGGACAAACTGCAATCGAGGTACGCGCCCTTAGCAGGAACCGAACCCAGGGCGAAATGGAAATAATTTTATTGGCCAGAGTTGTGTGGGAGGCAGCCAATCGATGTCTTTCTCTCATTGATGTTTCTCACTCCCTCTCCCCCTCCCTTCATCCCACTCTCTGTAAAAATCAGTGGAAAAATATCCACTGATATTAATAATTAATAATAATTAATAATAATTAATTTATTAAAATAAATTAATAAATTACCCAGTGCCCTGGCCAGTTTGGATCAGCGGTTAGAACATCTGCCTGTGGACCAGAGAGTCCCTGGTTCGGTTCCCACTAAGGGCATATACCTCGGTTGCAATTTATCCTTAGCCCCAGTTGGGGTCGTGTGGGTGGCAACCAGTCGATGTGTCTCTCTCACATTGATGTTTCTCTCTCTCTCTGCCCTCCCCCACTCTATTTAAAGTAAAATGCAAAAATGTCCTCAGGTGAGGATAAAAATAAATAAATAAATAACCCAGTGACATAACCCAGACACTCACAGTCAGGATCTTAGGAACTCCTGAAAAATAAGATTTTCTAATGCTTAAGATATTCTACTTATACATATATTATATGTGTATAAAAGGTGTTCTTATGTACATATTACAATATGTATAAAAGGTATTCCACTTATATTTACAGTATACATGCATATAAGAGGCATTCTACATACGTATATACATATGACGTGCACATAAATAATATGGGCAGACGTGGACCGAGATGTGGACACAGGACTATCTATCGCATGGAGGAGAATCCACCATCGAGTGTTTCCTTTGGAAACAGCGGGCTCACCTGGATGTTGTCAAACTTGAGGCCTGGCATGGTGAGGTTCTCCTTGTCTATGAACACGGTGCTGTACTGTTGGGCTGCTACTGAAATCAAGACGTCCCTGGTCGCCTCCCCGGGCAGCCAGGCGTCACTCCTCCGATCCATCTCGCTCATGCTCAGGGCGGTGGCAAAGGGGTCCTCGCTCCCGGCGAACACAGCCTGGATTTGTGAAAATGGCTTCGGAGACTGCGGGATTTGTAGGGTTGCCGTGGAAACAGCCACCTCAGAGCTCTCCACCCCCAGTGAGTTTCCTTCCCCTGGAGAAGCGAGCGAGGACCCCTGCTCTGGAACCATGGCGCCCGCATTGGGGTTACTGACAGAAATGAACGTGGAAGTTGTGAACGAATCAAAGAAGTCCGAGGCCAAAGAGTTAGTGTTGGTCGTCTCCCCAAAAAACGTGCTCAGGCTGGGGCTTGGCTGTACCACCTGGGGAGGGGTCTTGGAGGCCGGCTGGCTGGCGCTGCTGAAACTAGGGGACTTCACCATCTGTGACTCGAAGCCGTCCTGCAGGAAGGGGGGCGGCTGGGTGGCCTCGGGCTGGGACTGGCTGAAGATGGTGCACACCGGCACAGGCTCATCTTTGGGAGAGGGCTGCCTGGAGGACTGGCCTGGCCCCTCGGGGGCAGCGCCCTGGCACTTGAGGCCTGGGTCCCCTGAATCTCCATCGTCACAGATGGGCACGCCTTTCCCTTCTGGCTCGGGGCCTTCCTTCAAGGACGCCCTGGTGTCAGGGGTCACCTCAGAGAAGTCCTTAGGCACTCTGTCTCCATCACTTTCGCTGTCTGGACTGGGCGTGCCGACCACGCCTCTACCTATGACATCGTCCTGTCTGTGATCAACGCTGCCTCCTGAAGGCTCCTCGAGATCCTGCACCCCACCAAGGTCACCCGTGTCATCTTCACTGTTGTTGGGAGAATCAGAAATAAGGACACTCTCCATCATGTGCTCACTAAGCTTATCTATGAAATTATTAGAATCTTCTGATACCGTCTCATTCTCCTCTGACCCAAACTCATCTCCCCCGAGATCAATGGTTTCCTCCTGGTAGAGCAGCCCAGGTTCTGGCTGGGGCACCTGTGGGGTGACACTCTCGGCTCGCTCCTGGGCCAGCCCAGGCTCCGCAGTCAGGCGCTGGTCAGCGCCCGTAGCATCCTCCATGGTCTCTGCAACAAAGACAGACACAACCCATTGCATCAGCTTTCTGTCTCAGTTACTACTAAGCTGATTTTATCCTATTATTAAAATTTCTTTTAATTTATAAAAATGGTAAATACACATCATTATACATTTGTCCCAACCAGTAGAAAGCACAACAGTAAGAGTGAGCCCAAACGTCAACTACAAACTCTAGGTGACGACTTGCCTGCACAGACTGTAACCCACGTACCCTCTGGTGGGGAGGCTGAGGTACATGGGAAATCTCTACACCTGCTGCTGAATTTTGCAGTGAACCTAAAACTGCACCAGAAAAAAGAATCACTTAACAAGTGTTTACCAGCTACATATTTATATCAATATTAGGAAGATTCCATTTTTCTAGCCATTTATTTTTTACTGTAGTAAAAAACGCAACATATAATTTACCATCTTAAGCCCGGCCAGTATGGCTCAGTGGTTGGGTATCAACCCATGCACCAAGAGGTCGCTGGTTCGATTCCCGGTCAGGGCACATGCCCAGGTTGTGGGCCGGATTCCCAATGGGGGGCATGCACGAGGCGGCCAATCGATGCTCTCTCTCGATGTTTCTATCTCTCTCTGCCTCTCCCTTCCTCTCTCTCTAATATCAATAAGAAACGGAAATTAAAAAAAAAAAGTACCATCTTAATTTCTGAGTGTACAGTTCAGTGGCATTAAGTCCACTCATGTTGCACAACCATCACCACCGCCCACCTTCAGACCCTCCTTATCTCGTGAAACAAGACTCTGTAGCCATTACTCACTCGCTCCATACTCCTTCCTCCCCAACCCCTGGCAACCAGCATCTACTTGCCGTCTAGGAATCTGACGACTCCAGGGTCCTCGTATGAGTGAATACATGACAAATACTTATACTCACGTCAGTGTTTGTCTTTTTGTAATTGGCTTATTTTACTTAGCATAATGTCCTCAGGTTTAGAAAACCATGTTGTAGCCTATATCAAAATTTCCTTTCTTTTTTTTTTATCCTCACTTGAGGACATTTTTTCATTTTTTGTTCAGATAGAGCGGGAGGGAGAGAAAGAGAGAGAGAGAGAAACATAAACATGAAAGGGACACATTGAGTGGCTGCCACCCGCATGACCCAACCAGGGCCAGGGACGAACTGCAACCGAGGTACGTGCCCTTAGCAGGAACCGAACCCAGGACTCTCTGCACCGCAGGCCAACGCTCTAACCTCTGAGCCAAACCAGCCAGAGCCAAAATTTCCTTTCTTTTTAAGGCTGAATAATAACAGCCCGTATGAAAGTCTATATCGTTTATCCATTTATCTACTGATGGACACTTAGAATACTTCCATCTTTTGACAGCTGTTAACTCTGCCTCAATGAACATAGTATAAAAATCTCTTTGAGACCCTGCTTTTGGGCATATACCCAGAAGTGGAATTGCTGCATCCGACGGCAATTCTGCTTTTAATTTTTGAGGAACCACCAAACTGTTTTCCACAGTGGTCATACCACATCACACTCCCACCTTGTGATGTCTGCACACCCTCGCCAACACCTACTGCATCTTCCTAAACGCAGCCATCTGAATGGGCATGAGGCTTTGGCCCCTCAGACCCTGCTCCTTCTCTCAGACTTGTTAGAAATCTCCCTCTTCCAGGAAGCTTTCCAGGACCTCCAGCCTCCCTGAGCATGTACTGCTGTCTGCTGAACGCAGGGGCTGTGAGACAGCGAGATGGCAGGTGTGCAGACAGGAGGACACGCAGGTGTGCAGACAGGAGGAAACGCAGGTGTGCTCACTGGGCTGTGAGACAGCAGGTGTGCAGACAGGAGGAAACACAGGCGTGCTCACTGGGCTGTGAGCCAGCAGGTGTGCAGACAGGAGGAAACACAGGCGTGCTCACTGGGCTGTGAGCCAGCAGGTATGCAGACAGGAGGAAACACAGGTGTGCTCACTGGGCTGTGAGACGGCAGGTGTGCAGACAGGAGGAAACACAGGTGTGCTCACTGGGATGTGAGACGGCAAGTGTGCAGACAGGAGGAAACACAGGCGTGCTCACTGGGCTGTGAGACGGCAGGTGTGCAGACAGGAGGAAACACAGGTGTGCTCACTGGGATGTGAGACGGCAGGTGTGCAGACAGGAGGAAACACAGGCGTGCTCACTGGGCTGTGACGGCAGCCGCTATGACAGCTGAACTAGAGGACGCGGACTACATTCAAGGACTGTTCTAGTGCGTTCTGTGTATTTTCTCGCCTGCTCCTCGGAACAAGCCTATGGAACGGCCGCCATCACTTCCTTCGTTCTGGAGACAAGGAAATCGCGGCTGAGAGAGGCTATGAAGCTTGCTCAGAATCCCAGGGCTGGGGAGGGAGAAACCAAGTCCCATAAAATGAAGTGCTGGGTTGGTAAGGCTTGTGGAGGCCACAGAACAGAAGGGTTTGTGGTCTACACAGTGTGGCTCCTTTTCTTAAAGAGCTTTACAAGCAAAAGCTACTCTCTATGGTTCTACTCTCACAGTGAACACATTCGAGGGAAGGAAACCAAGACAAACATAAAAGATGATGGCTTTTCCAGAAAAAACAAAAACAACGTTTTGACCTACAGAAACTGTACTTCGCTGCTCAAAGGTTGCTTCCCCTCCCTGCCAATATGTCCATCAGAGCGTTCCAAGTCAGCTGTCCTTCCTCGTCATCCAGCCTGAGTCACCATGAGACCCCCAAACAAGATCATCATTTTTACTTTAGTTTTTTAAATCCTCACCCGAGGATATGTTTTATTGATTTTTAGAGAGAGAGGAAGGGGGCAGCTGGAGAAGGGGAGAGAGGGCAGCGAAAGAGAGATGAGAAACATGGATTGGTTGCCTCCTGTAAGCACCCCGATTGGAGATTGAACCATAACCCAGGTATGTGCCCTGACTGGGAGTTGACCCGCAACCTTTTGGTGTACGGCACAACGCCCCAACCAAATGAGCCACTGCTCAGGGCAACAAGATTATTTGAAAGTAGAAGATCAAAGTTAAACATTTTGGAGCAGTTTCCTGTCCAGCCTAGTCAGTTACTAATTCCCCATTTATTATATGTTCATCTAGATTAGCTATAAATGACTTTTAAAAAAAGGAAGAACAAAAGCTTTCTTCCTTGTACTGTTTCACAGCGAGCCCAGACTGAAGGCTGGCTCCGGACGTGAAGGAGGGGAGCAGCCCCATGTGGGAGGCTTCCTGCGTCCTCTCCGGCTAAGCACGAAGACCTCTTGGTGCATGGGTCGACGCTCAACCACTGAGCAACACTGGCCGGGCTAGGAAAATCTGTAATCCTGATACTGGCTTAATAATTTCTATTAAACCATACATATGATTATAAGTGCATGTCACCACTGAGAAGCAAACGGGTGTCTAAGCGGCTATTCCAACTTGATCAGTAACCAAGGAATACAGTAAATTCCTAACCAAGCCCTTCTATGGGACTAGCCACATATACTTCCAACAGTTCCAATTAGAGAAATGATTATAGCGGCAGTGACTGTCCTTTCACAACCTGACAAACATGTAGAATGGCTTCCAGCCAGAACTCCCAAATCCAGGTGCTGGAGACCCTACTTTACCTGCATTTTCTCTCCACCTGACATAAAACTGTTACTCCTTGAATGTATGCAATTAAAACTGCTGATGCATAGCTGTATCCTTCCTCATCCTCCACATATACAATACACATCCCCCCACTTTCTGAAAGTTGGAGAAGTGTTTTAAGGCTTCCTGGAACTCTGCTCTTGAGCCTATCCTCAGGTCAGCCCAAATAAAACCTCTTCTTTTTTTTTTTTTTTCCTCACCTGAGGATATTTTTCCATTTTTTGTACAGATAGAGAGGGAGGGAGAGAGGAAGAGGGAGAGAGAAACAATGACGTGAAGGGACACATCGAGTGGCTGCCACCCGCACGACCAACCAGGGCCGGGGACAAACTGCAACCAAAGTACATGCCCTTAGCGGGAACCGAACCCGGGTCTCTCCGGACCGCAGGCCGACGCTCTAACCGCTGAGCCAAACTGGCCAGGGCTAAAACCTCTTCTTAAATCCTTACAAAGATTCAAGTCTTCTTTACACTGACACCATCAAAACGCTAGCAGAGAAGTCAGGCTTCCTGTGTCCAGGTGAGTGCTTTTGCACAATGAGCTTAAGTAATGCCTTAAAATTTTTCAAGTACTAACTTTCAGCAGTTCAAATTCACTAACAACAATGAAAACTACAGCGGTTCAGGGTCCCTTTCTGAAATAAGGCTGAATTATAAATCTTTTACCAGAGGGCAATAATGCAGACCCTATTTCCATGCAAATACGTTGTTGCGTGGAAATCTAATTATTTTACGTTTATGAAAGACCTCATGTGAAAACACCCACTACTGATCAGGCACTTCACATGTACTACCTATTTCATTCTCAGGGCTAACCTGTAACCTGCCTTCACCTCCAGCCTACGCAGAGCAAGCCAAGGCCCGCCCGGCGCCGGTGCCGGTGCCCAGGCTGGACGCACAGCACTCCACACAGGCCCCTCTGCTCCTAGGAAGGCGGATGGGGCAGCTGGTAATTCCGGGCAGCAGAGCCCAGGCAGAAAGGGCACCCAAGGCAGGCTCCGCTCAACCAACGGCTCAGTCTCAGCTTCCCGACTACCTGACCTTTGAAACCTGGTCTGGGCTTCCGAGGCTGTAAACGGGATAATTCAATCGTAAGAGCTGCACAGGCACTTTAACCACCTGTGATGAGCAGCACACACGTCAGCGTGGAAGTTGTCACCTGAGGGATGGAGCAGCGAGGTGACACGAGGTCTGCGGGGAGAGAGCCCTGCAAATATTAGGGACCGGACCCGAAGAAACAGTTGCCTCCCGCTTGCATCCCGCTCGGGGGGCCTCGGTGCTGCACTCAGCACTGTCTTCGGAATTTGTGAAAAAAAGAGACAACCTAGGAGTTAAGTACTTGAACCCCAAAGACCCGGCGTCCTCCAGGAGCCTTACAGTGGAAACCGTGGTCCCAGGAGAAGCGCCCTGCGGAGCCGGGGAGACGGAGCCCGCCCCGGAGCACACCTCCAGCCGGCGCAGCCGGGGGCGCCACCCCCGCCGGGGCCTTTCCTTCGCCTGGCGCGGGCGGGGCGGAGAGGAGGGAGGAGCAGCCGTGAGACACACATCCCCTGGTCGCCTCCGCGCGACCCCGGCGCGTGCCCCGGCCCGGGATGAGCCCGAGCTCCTGGGGCCCCCGCCTGGCCCGGCCGGCTCCTCACACAGATGCTCCGAGTGGTGCGCGCGGCCCGGCGGCACCTCGGTCCCGGCCGCCGCCAGGAAGGGCTGCACGGCCAGCGACAGCGACGGACCCGGGGGCGGGACGTTAGGGGCCCAGGGGAGCCGAGCCCGACCGGACCGGGCCGGGCCCCTCCTCCGCCAGCGACCCTGCTGCGGACCCGGGCGGCGGGTCCCGGGTGGAGGAGCCGCGGGGCCGGCGGAGCGGCGGTTACGGACGGCCCGACGCCTCCCTGCAGCCCGCGCCCGGTCCTCACCTGCGGCCGCCCACGGAGTCGAGGAGAGAGTCACCTGCGGCCGCGACCAGGGTCCGGGAGAGGCGGAGGGACCCCGGAAGGGGGCGTGGCCGCAGCGCCTCCTGCGGCGCCTGCGCGCGCCTCTCGCGCATGGTCAGTAACCGCCCCGACGGTGACGGCCGGAAGCGCGGTGCGTTTCCGGTGCGAGCGGCGGGGGCGGGGCCTGGGCCTCTGTGTAAACGCGGGAGGGGAAATGGGCGGGGCCCTGGGAATGCTGCGGAAGTTACTCTGACAGCTGAGGCTGCAGGCGCACCTGTGGCCCTGGGGCAGCTGCAAGGGAGACCGTGAGGCTCTTTACATTGGGAACAAAGCACCTAGCAGGACTGTGTCTTCAGGGGTTTGTCTTTGTATTTTCACCTTTCCTGCCCTGCATCTGTACTCTTTGTGTAGTAACATTAGTGATAAAAATGGTAGTAGTAATAATAATAGCAGTCGTATCCAGCTCCCCCCATTCATCCAGCAAATACCCATCCAGCCTAACTCCGCCGGGCAAGGCGTTAGGCGCTGGAATACAGCTGAGCCAAACGCCAAACCAGACCTGGCCGTTTCTTCTTTTTCAATGATTAAAATATTTTAATTTATTTCTGACCAATAAAAACTGTATGTATTTAAGGTGTACAATGTATACTATGTGAAATGATGACCACAGTAGGACTAATGAACACATCCATCAACTGAGTTACCATTGTGTGTGTGTGTGTGTGATGACCACGGGAGATCTATAGCAAGTTTCAAAAGTAGGATATGTTACTATCACAATAGTTACCATTTTTATATTAGGTATCCAGAACTTATTTATAATGGAAAGTTTGTGCCTTTTGATCAGTTACCCAGCTCTCAGCCCCTGGTAACCAATATTCTACTCTGTTACAATGACCTCAACTTTTTTAGATTCTACATGTAAGTGGAATCATGCGGTATTTGTCTTTCTGTGTCTGGCTTATTTCACTTAACAGCACAATGTCCTCCAGGTTTATCCATGTTGTAGCAAATGTCAGGATTTCTTTCTTTTTAAAGACTGAATAATATTCCACTACATATACAGACATATATACAGGTGACTCTTGAACAACACGAGTTTGAACTGTGTGGGTCCACTTAAATATTTATTTCAACAAATACCCGTATTAGTTTTATCTGCAGTTTTATCAGGTATGGAAGGAAAACTATATGCATTGATCTAGGCCATTTTACCTAGGGAACCTCAGTATCCATGGATTTTGGTATTTGCAGGGGGTCTTGGAATAAATCCCCCACAGATATAGAGGGATAACTCAAGTTTTTTGGAAGTTAAAAGTATATGTGACCTTCTTTCTGCAAGGGAGTTTGGCGTCACTAACCCTCACATTGTTCAAGGGTCACCCGAGATACATAAGCTCACACCTTTATTCAGTTGTCAATGGACACTTAGATTGTTTCCATCTTTTGAGTACTGTGAATCAGTCTACAATGAATATAGAGTGCAGGTATCTCTGCACTCTGAGATAGGGATCCCCACCTTTGAATCACAAAAGTGGGATTGCTGCATCATACAGTTTTATTTTTAATTTTTAAAGAAATCTCTGTATTATTTTTCATAGTAGCTTTAACAGTTTACATTCCCCTTAACAGTGCACAAGGGCTCTCTTTTCTCCAATCCTGCCAACACTTGTTCCCTTTTGACTTTTTGATAATTGCAATCCTAACAGGTGTGAGGTGATACCTCATTGTGGTTTTGATTTGTGGTTCCCTGATGATCAGTAATGTTAAGCATCTTTTCATATACCTTGTTCCAGACTCAGCCATTTGTCATGAAAATAGATTAAGGGTAGAGAGAAAAGTTAATTAACCACAGAAATGGAAGAGAGATGCATGGTCCTGTAAAACACTGGCGCCCAAGTTAATGAGGGGGCTGCAGCTATAGCATTTTGGGATCATATGCAATACAATTTCTGTGTGCTGAGAGTGTTAGATAGGACAAGGGTCTCAAGGTCTGGGCCGGTTCTTACTAAATACTATTCCTGCTAAATGTTAAAATGTAGAATAGTATTTTGCAGACACAGCTATAACCAGATGAGATTGACAGGAACCCAACAGGACAGGTTTAGCCAACTGCTAAGAAATCAATATGTAGACCCAGAGATGTGGAATTGGGTACAGACTGACAAACCTCAGAAGAGGGGGTGAGGGGGAGGGAAGAGATAAATCACAGAACTTACATGCATGTACACATAACCAATGGACATGGACAACAAAGCTGGGGATGGGGTGGGGGGGATGAGGAGGAGGGTATCAATGGGGAAAAAAGGAGAAACATCTGTAACAAAAATAAATTAATAAAAAAAAATGAATATGTAATTAACCAAATGGTGTATAAGCCATGGCTAAGCTTCCCTTCTGTGAGACAAGGCTTTGGATGGGTATACTTTCTCTTTTACTAGCTGCAAGTAAAAAAAACTACCTAATAACAACCATATCTCATGCTTGAATAGAACACCCCCTGCTGCGCACCCCTTGAGTTCGGCACCATGAGCAGCATTTGGGGCAAGCATTTGGGGACTACTGCCTACGAGAGGCACCTTCTCCATGATGAGTCCTTGGAGATACTGGGGTGGGGGGTGGGGAACCCAGGGTCTTCCTAGCTGATTCCCAATCACTGTCAAATGCTGGTCAGATTCCGCCAGCACTGCCACGCCAGGCATCACTGGCCCCTGAGCACTGGCCCCTGACTTGAACCCCAGGCCGGCCCAACGGAGTCTGGTGGAGCTGCCAGGCACCCTAGCGCCCACGCACAGCGTCTCATCTGTAAACGGAAGTATGCAGCTTCAGTGTTAAGGTTGGGGCCCGGAGCTTTAGGACAGTGGATAGAGAGCATTTGTCCTCGCGCTCTGGAAAGTCCTGATGGGAACAAAGCACGGTGTCAACATCCCATGTGGGCCATTCAGGAGGATGGGGCACCAGGGAGTTCAGCAGAGACTCTCCGGCGGCCCCCAACGGCGAGGTGGGGAAGCACAGTCCCCCGAGGCCCCGCCCCTCGACCAGAGCGCCCTCTGCCCCTCCTAGAGGCCCCGCCTCCCCCCGCCCGCCCTAGCTCCTCCCCGCCGAGTCCACCACTCCCGGAGCTCACGGAGACTGGAGCCCGGATAAGACCGACTGGGCATGCGCACAAGCAGGGCCCTGCCGCCATTGGGCGCCCGCGCAGAGCGTCGCGATGACACGTCAGGAAAACACAGGAAGTGAGCGCTACGGGAGCCGCGCTGGGCCAGGAAGCATCGGTCTCCGCGCCGGCCGGGCGGGGGGAATGAATGGGCGCTGAGCAAGGGGCGCGCCGGCTGCGGGGACCCGCCTGAGGCGAGGGGAGGCCGCAGCATGGAGGACGACGCGCCGGTGATCTACGGGCTGGAGTTCCAGGTGGGTGCCGCTTGGGCCGCGGCGTGAGCGGTCTGCAGGTGAGGCGGCGGGCTGGAGGGGCTTGGGGCCCGGGCGCCGGGGGCGGCACGCCGGCCCTCGGGTCGAATTCCTCTCGGCGCCGGTGCGGCTCCGCGAGACCCGCAAGACCGCGGCAAGTCCCCGCGCGCCCCGCGCCCCCGGGGCGCGCCTCGGACGGACCGGGCGCCTTGGGCAGGGCGTAGCAATGCGCTGGGACCGCCCCACCGGAACCACAGACGGTTCGGATGTCGCCTGCTTTCCCACTAATGCCGTGGTTCCTAAAAAAAAAAAATTAATGGATTTTTGGAGAGAGAGAGGAAGGGAGAGGCAGAGAGAACCATCAAGAGAGAGCACATCGATTGGGTGCCTCCTGCATGCCCCCCACTGGGCATCGGGCGCGCAACCCAGGCCTGTGCCCCGACCAGAATCCAACCGGGACCTCGAGGTGCAAGGGTCGCACGCTCATACCTGGGCTAATGCTCTTTTCTTTTTCATCCTGCAACCCCGCCCCGCAAGGGTGCCCGGCACCCTGCGCTCTCCGTCCCTGTGCATCGGACCACGGAGTAGGTCTCAGCCAAGGATCGCGAAAGGAGTGCACCCCTAATGTGAGCGGTGACGGGGCGGGGTGCACCCGACCGTTCAGAAGGGCAGCAGGGAAGTCTCAGGGTAGAGAGGAGACCGCGTGCGCAGGGTGAGATGGGGGTAGGTAGGGAGCACATTGTCTGGCCTGTGAGAGCCCTGTGCTGGTTTTCATGTGTTCGGGTAGCTCCGGAAAACGGGGGGCACACAGAGAGAAGCAAAAACGCAGATCGTTGCCTTACGAAGCACACCATGGGTAACTTGAGCGCAGCAAATGTGTATTAAAAACAGAACTGGCCTCTACTTTCAAGAAGTTTACGGTGAGAAAAAGATGGCAGCAGACAGGACCAGAGCAAGGATGAGAGTTGGGTGAGAGTGAGCGAGCCTGAGAGACTGCGAGTGGATGTGAGTGTGGATGAGCAACCTCGAGCAATGTAGAAACATGGGGCAGAGGGTCCCAGTGCTGTGGACGAGGAGCAGTGGCTACCTCGTAAGTGGCTTGTCAGGGCGCTTCTCCGTGCTGGGTGGAAGGCCCCACCATTGTGAAAGGTCCCTGGTCTTCTCTGGGAGGAGGCAGTGGGGAGCGGCTAGGGCCAGGGACCTGAGTCCACCAGTGCACCTGGCACCATCAGACCAGGGACCTGGCTGTGTCAACGTGGACCACGCACAGTAGCAGTGCTGTCAAGGTATTTGCTTGTAAAGCAGCCTTATTTGATACACACTGACCTGCCTACACATCCCAGCATCCCTCACTGGTCTGGAACGACCAGGCTGCTGAAGTGGTGAGACAAAGACCAACACCCAAATGAAAGGAAAGGAGGAGTCACCAGAAAAGGAACCAAATGAACTGGAAGAAAGCAATTTATCAGGTAAAGAATTCAAAGCAACGATTTTAAGGGTGCTCAAACAATTTAGTGAGAACCGCAAGCAGCTAATGAGAATGATAAAGAGCTCAGTGGGAACTACATCGCCATAAAAAACGATCTAGAAGCTATGAAAAAAAATCAAGTGGAAATAAAAATGTAACTGATATGAAAAATACCTTAGAAGGTCTCAATAGTAGATTAGAAGAAGCTGAAGACAGAATCAGCGAGTTAAAAGACAAGGTAAAAAAAAAGACACCCAAATAGAGCAGCAAATGGGAACAAAAAATTAAAAAGCAGGAGGAGAGTTTAAGGGAGCTTTGGGACAATGCAAAATGTAGCAACATTTGCACCATAGGAAGACCAGAAATAGAAGAATCAGAGAATGGAATAGAAAACCTGTTTGAAAAAATAATGACAGAGAACTTCCCTTATTTGGTGAAGGAAAAAATCACACAAGTTCAGGAAATACAGAGAGTCTCAGAAAGATCCATAGCTAGACATATCATTAGTAAAATGGCACACATTAAAGACAAAGAAGGAATCTTAAAAGAAGCAAGAGAGAGACAAAAATTTCCTACAAGGGAGCTCCCATTAGACTGTCACCTGATTACTCAATAAAAACCCTGCAGGCCAGAGGGGAGTGGCATGAAGAATGCAAAGTAATGAAAGGCACGGGTCTGAATCCAAGACTACTCTATACAGCAAGGCTATCATTCAAAATTGAAGGTGAAATAGAGTTTCACAGACAAAAAAAAAAAAAAAGCCAAAGGACTTTACTACCACCTAACCAGTCCTGCAAAAAATACTAAAAGGACTGTTGTAAGAAGAAGAAATAGAGAAGGAGAGAAGATCAGACGTAAATAAAAATGGCAACTAATAAGTACCTATCAGTAATAACCTTAATGTAAATTGCTTAAATGATCCAATCAAAAGACATAGGATAGCTGATTGGATAAGAAAACACAACCCACATGTATGCTGCCTACAAGAGACCCACCTCACAACAAAAGAGTCACACAGGATGAAAGTGAAGGGATGGAACAAAATTTTCCAGGAAAATGGAAATTGAAGAAAAAAAAATGCTGGTGTAGCAATACTCATATCTGATAAGACAGACTTCAAAACGAGGGCCATAATAAGAGGCAAAGAAGGTCACTACATAAAGGGATCACTCCAACAAGAGGATATAATCCTGGTAAACATATATGCACCGAATATAGGAGCACCACAATATATTTAAAAGCTTCTGGAGGACTTCAAGGGAGAGAGCAATAGCAAGACAATCATAATGGGTGACTCTTGAATCCATAAAAATCCTAGAAGAAAATGTAGGCAACAAAATTTCAGACATCACATGCAGCAGAATTTTCACTGATACAACGCCTAAGGGAAAAGAAACAGGAAAAAATGAATAAATGGGACTACATCAAACTAAAACGCTTCTGCACAGCAAAAGAAACAAGCAACAAAATGGAAAGGGAACCCACTATATGGGAGAGCATAATTGCCAATGATACATCAGATAAGGGGTTAATTTCCAAAATAGAGTACTCATACAACTCAACAAAAGGAATACAATCCAATTTAAAAATGGGTAGAGGACATAAAGAGACACCTCTCCAAGCAGGACATACAAATGGCCAAGAGACATATGAAAAAATGCTCAATGTCACTAATCATCAGAGAGATGCAAATTAAAACAACAATGAGGTGTCACCTCACACCTGCCAGAATGGCCGCCATCAACAAAGCATCAAACAAGTGTTGGCGAGGGTGTGGAGAAAAGGGGACTCTAGTACACTGCTGGTGGGAATGCAGACTGGTGCAGCCACTGTGGAAAACACTATGGTGTTACCTCAAAAAATTAAACTGCCATTTGACCCAGTGATTCTACCTCTAGGAATATATCCTAGGAAGCCTGAAACACCAATCAGAAAGAATATATGTACCCTTATGTTCACAGCAGCACTATTTACAATTGCTAAGATCTGGAAACAGCCCAAGTGTCCATCAGTAGATGAGTAGATAAAAAAGCAGTGGTACATGTACACAATGGAGTACTATGCAGCTGTATGAAAGAGAGATCTCTTATCTTTTGAGATGACATGGAGGGACCTGGAGAGTATTATCCTAAGTGAAATAAGCCAGTCAGAGAAAGACAAGTATCACATGACCTCACTTTTTTATGTAATCTGCTGAACAAAATAGACCCAGAGACAGAGAAATAGGTTCAGACTGACAAACCTTAGAGAAGGGGGTGTAGGGGTGGTGGAGAGAAGAGGTAAACCAAAGAACTTAAGCATATGAGCATAACCAATGAACATAGACAACAGTCCTGTGGGGGAGGCGGGGTGGGAACGGGAGGAGGGTGTCAGTGGGGAAAAAAAAGAAACATCTGTAACAAAAGAAATTAATTTTTTAAAAAAGCAGTTTACAGTGAGAAAGACAGGTGGGGGTAACTAAAAGCCGAGCACCACCACAGCCCTGAGGTTTTCACCCGGGCCCCCCGTCCAGCTGTGTGACCCTGGGCCTCAGCTTCCGTGCCAATACAGTGGGGAAATGAGTGTGTACCCACGGTGCCTGTTGTGAAAGTTACATGAATCAACACGTTTCTTTTTTATTGCTTGTAGAGAGAGGAAGGGAGAGGGAGAGAGAGAAAAACATCAATGAGAGAGAAACACCAACATTTGCTGCTTCTTTCCTGCCCCCCACTGGGTACTGAGTGAGAAACCTGGGCATGTGCCCTGACCAGGAATGGAACCAGTGACCTTGTGGTGCACGGGACAATGCTAAACCAACGGAGCCACACTGGCTGGGCTAAATGAGTCAATACATTTAATTCAGGCACTTAAGACAGTGCCCGACACATGATAAAAACTCTAAATGTTGTTCTGATTATTGTAATGAAACAAAATTCTTACAGTTGAATTTCATGCAAAGCAGTGACTACATGTCCTCTGAGTAACGGACTCTTACAGGGCTGTGCCTCTCATGATGGAGCCTTAGCAACCGGTTACTGAGAGCTTCGCTATGGGAGGGGCACGCTGCTTAGCACTGTACATGTTTTCATTTAATTCTCTGAGCAGCCGTATCGGCAGATGTATTTTTCTGTGGTCCAAAGACACTTAGCAAGACAGTGGCAGGTTCGGATTCATTCTCACCTAGTGTCAGGTTTCAAACCCGATCCCACTTCAGAGCACCTTAACCATGAATTGCACGCCTTTCTCCCTAGAAGGTGCACGCAGGGCCCCTGTGGGGGGCTGCATGCAGGGAGACCACGGGTCCGGGGGCTTGTGCTACCTGGAGTGGGCGTCTTCCACCAGTTCCTTTGTGACTTCTTGGTCTTGAGAAATCTCCTAAATAACCCCGAGTGTTTGATCTTCACTGTTGGGTCTTTGAGGTCTCTAAATTGCCATTGCCTTGGGTGTCAAATACTTTGTCTGCATTTCTTCTTTGTTTTAAGAGAAGCAGCTGACTTTTGCGTTTGTTTACTCCATGGGCAGTGACCTGCTTGAATAAGAAGCATTACTAAGGAAA